TGTGGTTTGGGGTAGAAAGTAGGGAAGATTATAGGTTCATTGACATGAAAGGACGAGTTGACTTTTGGCAAGAAGGATGGATGACATCTCAGTGAGACTCCCTGCTGAGTGAACATCGTGTATGGAGGGTCCGCTGAAAGTGCTGCAAGCTCTGAAACTCGCCGAGCTGAGGCTATCGCCAGGAGAAAGGTAACCTTTATCGTGAGAATTTGTAACTCACAAGTCGCAAGTGGTTCAAATGGTGGGCGGGTAAGGGTGTCCAGTACAAGGCCAAGGTCCCATGGCTGCGGGATAGGCTTGTGTGGTGGACAGATATTGGAAATTCCCTTAAGAAATTTCTTCGTAAGTGGATGAGAGAAAACGGAAAAGCTCTCTATGGGAGCGTGAAAAGCCGAAATAGCTGCCAAGTGTACTTTTAGCGAAGCAGCGGCCAATCCTTGGGAGTGTAAATGCAGGACGTAGTCCAGAATACGCTGGATCTGCACATTTAGGGGGTTAATGGCTTGTGGCTGGCACCAGGCTGAGAAGCGACGCCACTTATAGATGTACGATCGTTGGGTGCTGTGGCGTCTGCTTTGCACGAGTACATCCATGACCGCTTGGGAGCAGGTTAATTCTAGGCCCTGGAGCCAGTTAGGAGCCAAGCTGTCAGGTGCAAGCGGTCGACATCCGGGTGGAGAAGGTTGCCGTTTTGTTGTGAGATCAAGTTGTTGATCCGTGGAAGACGTTGAGGTCTGGACACCGACATCTGCATGAGTTGCGTGAGCCAAGTCTGGCGCGGCCAGAAGGGAGCCACGAGGATTACTGTCGCCGAGTCTGATAGTATTTTCTGTATTACCCGCGGTATCAGCGGGATTGGGGGAAAAGCGTAGAGGAGATGGTACGCCCCCCAATTGAGAAGGAAGGCATCCCCCAAGGATTGGTTGTCTATCCCCGCTCTCGAACAGTAAGAGCGGCACTTCCTGTTGTCGCGAGTGGCAAAGAGGTCGATCTCTGGGTAACCCCATGCCCGAAACAGATCGAGGGCTACAGAGTGAAGGAGCTCCCATTCGTGTTGGGAGTGGAATGATCTGCTGAGCGTGTCCGCAATTATATTGGTTTTGCCGGGAAGATAGGAAGCTATGAGCGCAATCCTGTGGCGGATCGCCCAGTTCCACAGGCGCACTGCTTCCGCACACAAAGTCCTGGACCTGGCCCCGCCTTGCCGGTTGATGTAGTAAACCGTGCATATGTTGTCGGTAAGGACTTGTATGGTGGTCCCCTGTATGTGGTGGACAAAGTGGCGGCATGCGTTGAAGACTGCCCTGAGCTCCAGGAAGTTTATATGGAGTAGGGATTCCCGATGGGACCAGAGTCCCTGGGTCCGGTAGTGCAACATATGCGCCCCCCAGCCCATTAGGGACGCGTCCGTGGTCAGTTGAATGGATGGGGGCTGGATCCGGAATGGAACGCCTGCTAAAGTATTGGCAGGTAGAGTCCACCAAACGAGCGATTTCCTGACTCGGGCAGGGATGGTTACGAAGGTGTTGAGATTGGTAATGCCCGGTTTGTAGGCTATGAGGAGCCAATGTTGCAGACATCGCATGCGGAGGCGAGCATGGGCTATGACGTATGTGGTAGAGGCCATGTGGCCCAATAGTTTCAGGCAGGTAAGGTAAGAGACCTTCGGGGCTGTGAGCAAGACGTTCGATAGGTCTCGAATGGTGTCGGCTCTGTCCGTAGGCAGATACGCCATAGCAGTGGTAGAGTCTAGTCTGGCCCCAATGAACACGATGGACTGGGCCGGAGTTAGAGTAGATTTTGGCAGATTGATAATTAGGCCAAGGGTCTCGAAGATGCCTTTTGTAGTGGCAACTGCCATCTCGGCTTGTTCTCTCGAAGGTGCTGAGAGGAGGTAGTCGTCGAGATAAGGGAAGATGGTGATCCCCGCTCGACGGAGGTATGCCGCTATGACTGCCATGGTCTTTGAAAATACTCTCGGAGCTGCGGATAGGCCGAAGGGAAGTACCGCATATTGGTAGTGGTCGTCTCCGACGGTGAATCGCAGAAACCTCCTGTGAGCTGGATGGATAGGAATGTGGAAGTATGCGTCCTGCAGGTCGAGAGACGCGAACCAATCCCCCTTTTGTAGTGTTGGAATGATGGAACCCAGAGTAACCATCTTGAATCTGTATCTTCGCAGGTAGCGGTTGAGACCGCGAAGGTCTAGTATCGGCCTCCATCCCCCCGACTTTTTCTCTGTGAGGAAGTATCGGGAATAGAACCCCCTGCGATGGAATTCGGGAGGAACTATTTCCACCGCACCTATGGTAAGTAGGTGTACTACTTCCTGTCGTAACAGATTTTCGTGGGAGGGGTCCCTGAAAAGGGGTGGGGAGGGAGGGTTGGTGGGAGGCAAGGTGGAGAACGGAATGGTGAGTCCTGAGGTTACAATCTCCCTGACCCAGCGGTCTGTGGTGATGGCAAACCAACGAAGGGAGTATGGATACAGACGGCGGTTGAAGAGTTTGGTTACTCTCGCGTTGGGTTCTAGTTGAGGGATGGCTCGCAGACTCTCGATCAGTATGTCAAACTTGCTGTCTAGATTGTTGCTGGTTGTTGGCCTTGTTAGGTTGCTGGCGGCGACGTTGGGGGCGCTGCCTCTGTCTATGCTGGTCGTATGGCCTAAACCGTTGGTTGGTATAGTAGGAAGCCGAAGAAGGAGGCGGCCTCTGCCTGTTGTATGGCCAGGCTCTCCTGCGCCTGAAGGGCGGGGTGTACATCCCTAGCGTTCTTAACGTATTTCTAGAGTCCTTTCCTGAGTGAAACACTTGGTCTGTGTTTTGAGCGAACAGGGATGCTCGGTCAAATGGGAGGTCCTCCACCTTAGGGTGTAGATCCTTTGGCACGGAAGCCAGGTGGAGCCAAGAGTCTCGTCGCATGACGATGGACGTCGCGGTAGTGCGGGAGGCCGAGTCCGCGATATCGAGGGATATCTGGAGCGCATTACGGGCCACTGTGTACCCCTCTTGTACTATGGCCTTCAGTACCTCCCTTTGGGAATGTGGGAGATGCTGTATGAGCGGCACTAACTTCGAATAGTTGTCGAAGTCGTGGTTGGCAAGATGGGCAGAGTAGTTTGCCATCCTCAATGTGGCCGTTGCAGATGAATAGACCTTTCTGCCTAGCAAATCCAAGCGTTTGGCCTCTTTGTCCGCGATGGAATTCCTCGCCTGCGCGGATCTCGCCTTTTGCTGTGCTGCGTCAACCACGATAGAGTTTGGAACAGGATGGGTAAAGAGAAACTCTGCATCCTTGGCGTCGATAAAATATTTTCTGTCCGTGCGTTTGGATCTCGCCTTTTGCTGTGCTGCGTCAACCACGATAGAGTTCGGAACAGGATGGGTAAAGAGAAACTCTGCATCCTTGGCGTCGATAAAATATTTCCTGTCCGTGCGTTTGTTGGTAGGAGGCATAGACGCCGGAGTTTGCCAGATGTCATTGGCTACCTCCAATATCGCGGCATCGAAAGGAAGAGCTAGCTTGGATTTACTAGAATGTTGTAAATTTCTGAGCAGCGGATGGTGTTTTGGAGGCGCCCCCGAGGTGCGTAAGTTTTGTGAATCCGCTACCCGTGTAAAAAGCTCATGGAACTGCTTATAATCATCTGCTAGAGGGGGTTCGTCGTTAAACACCGCATCATCAGGAGAAGAGGAAGCGACATCTGTCGGGGAGGCCACTGACTGGTGTTCCGCCACTGGTGACTGAGTGGTATCGTCCTGTGGGACCGAAGTCGTGGACGCATCTCCCGTAGGCGCTGGTGGGCGTTGAGCCGGTGGAATAGAGCCTTGGGTCGTTGGCGAATATATTTGCTGTCGGCTCGGAGACAAGGGTGAGCGCCTCGATATTGATCGTGAACGCTCCGAATGCAGTGAGCGGTGACGAGACGGACGATGAGAGTATTGTGGAGAATAGGACAGAGTGCTCCTATGACGATAATAGCGGGAGCGGGTAGGTGATCGAGGGGAACAAGAGCGGTACGAGTAACGGTACGGTGATCTGGAGTAGTATGAGCGGTGATAGTGAGGCGGTGTGATGGACCTTCTCGGGGATCTATAGTAACGGCGTGCAGGAGAGTACTCGTGATAGTGGCTCCGCCGTCTTTGAGGTGAAATCGAAGGTCCAGGCAAGAAGGCTGCCCTGTCCGAACCTGGAGAAGAGGTACAAGGGTGGTGTGTTTTCCTCTGTGCCTTCGTCGGTACCGCTCTAGAAGTATGGGGGACCAGGCTATCTGGGATCGAGATAAGTGAGGCCCCATCAGAGATTTCCCCTGGAAGGCATGGTGATTGAGGCGCAGGAGGTGAGGAAGGCGGAAGCACTTCTTGTCTCGACACCTGAGGGTGTCAAATCGTCGGATCCGGTGCCGAAACGGGAGACTGTTCCTCTGTGCCTTCGTCGGTACCGCTCTAGAAGTATGGGGGACCAGGCTATCTGGGATCGAGATAAGTGAGGCCCCATCAGAGATTTCCCCTGGAAGGCATGGTGATTGAGGCGCAGGAGGTGAGGAAGGCGGAAGCACTTCTTGTCTCGACACCTGAGGGTGTCAAATCGTCGGATCCGGTGCCGAAACGGGAGACTGAGACGGCTCCTCCACTTCCAGCAATCGGTCGGTGCGGTGCCGACACACCCTGAGGATGAGGAATGGCTGCGTCGCTAGGCTTTGGATGGGATCTGGGTGCCGAGCGTTTTCTCGGTGCTGGGTCCGGTGCCTTTGGGTGTTGCCGCTT